ACTTTCCCTGAGACAACACTATTGATCTCCCTGTAAAAGGTAATGCTCTGGTGCACAACCAGGACATAAGGCTTATTTACAGCGATGGTCACAAGCTCCCACAAGTCACCTGCTATAACTGCAGGACTGCTGTCAGCGCATCAGACAGCTAACAATATATGACCAGTCATCAGCATGGGATTTTTTCTCCGTGGACACACATTTAATCCTCTGAATGCTGATGCAACACACGGTGGATAATATTCTCCCCATTAAATATAATAACAATCGGACCTACTTTTCATTATTTGTGTTGTGTTTCCTGCCACACCATTTCATTATCTCCTGCCCTCACCTTGCAGAGTTTGATCCCATTCCAGCTCTCTACCGGAAGGGATTCAACACTTGAAATTTAAGAGTGCAACAGTTTATTAGGTCTAAATTGAAATGCATTTTATTTGTTTGTCCAAATGTGGTAGATAACTTGCTATTGCTGGCTTCCTCACCTCATCTATTGTGCCCTAGTCAACAATATTTGTCCATTATTGGTTGAAGAGCAGCATTCTCACTTGGAACTACTCAGGCAAATGAAAAATGTGCACACAGCAGAATGAGGCTCATTAATGGCAGCGATGTGTGGGTGAATGCAGGAGTTGCACCAAGTACTCTTTCAGGAAATGTCGACTTTCTTTAAATGATTTCCAAAAGTTGATCTTTAGTGACTTTTGAGAGAGGGCTGAAAAACTAGAACTCATTATCGAATCCAAAATACACATTTGTGGTTCCATATTTTAAACAAGGACACTTAAATTCAGATAGGTGAGAAAGGGCAGGAAGCAATTTAAACAGAAACTATAAAATGCAGGAAAAATCCATTTCTGGTGCACAGATTAGACAGAGAGAGAGAAACTAAGACAGGATGTGTTGCTCTTGAACTCTTGTGATCGAGTTCTGTGAAATGACAAAAACAAAGTGAAAAAAACATTTAGCTCATGTTCAGATGTCTTGTGATTACACATTGGTTATGACAAGCTACTTGTATAGTGTATAAAGCAACTTTCTAAATTTAAAACCATGCCATTTAAGTCCCCAAGGCTTTCAGCTATTTTCCCCACTAATTGTAATCTTTTTAAGGACACCGATTTTAAACAATATTTAAACAAAGTAACAGTATGTCACTGCAGCATTGATCCCAGTGTTTCATGTTTGGACTTGTGATGTCCTCTTTCTAATATGGAAGTGGGATGATTTTTTTTTTTACTGGTCCACAGTGAGCATAAATATTACTGCCATTATACACGTATTATATTAAAGCAAAGTAAGTATTTAAAAATGGAAATCTTATTTACCAAAGAAATCACCAGAGTGGCCATCACCACAGTAGTGCTTTATCTTAAGTTAAAGACCTTCCAATGAAAATCAAGTGTTACCATGTGTCCATATAATAACAGACATATGATAATGAAATAACCATCAACACCATGACTCAGTGTTTCCACCTTGAACTGCAATGAACCAAAGACAGTCTCATAAACACAGATTCAGGGTTTCATACGTCACAGACCTGAGGAACCAATCATGTCAACCGGTGGGGACGGGGGGCGGGGCTAAATACACCTGAAACCTTGTCAGTACAGAGATAGTGAGAGTCAGCATTAGCACAACCGCTAACACTGGGTCAGCCACTGACAGTTACAAGCTAACAAACAACAAATAAAAGATGCTAACTGCGCTAACGGTTCTGCTCCGTCTGCTAGTCTCTGGTTCTGGTCTCAACAGACTCCTCCTCTGAGTCTGGTTCTGACTGAGGCTCAGACATGTGGCTGAGACTCTCTGATGTTTCCTCCTCTCACCATCTTGATGCTCTCTGCTCTTTCACCTGTCCACCTGGAGCAGGCGGGTAGTGGGCGGGGCTCAAGGCCTGATCCAGATTTCTCAATGAGGAAGTAAGAGGAGATGAGCTTCAGACCCAGATTTTATGTGTGAAAACATGTTCAACTAAATATGAATCATAGCAGAGTATGTAGTTCTATGTAATTCAGATAATGTACATGTTATTGTACCCTGCACCTTCCTCAGATGAACAGTATTCAACAGTATTATGGCAGCACTCTTATGTAGTGGACACTTATCTTTTGTCTCGTCCACACTAGTCGAAACTGAGGGTTTACCTGAATATTACCAATCTGACTATTTCCTCTCCTCTACAACAATAACTAAAAGACATAAGCTCCACATCTGTTTCCTGTGGCCCTACGGTGCCATCAGCTAATCTTCCTGGCTGCCTGCACTGTGGATCTATTATTTGTAATGGCAAAACAATCAGACTTTATGGCCCAGCACCACATCCACTGGAATGGAGGCAGCACGTAATTTAATACTTCAGGAATTGGCTCCACAATATTTGCCTCTGGCTCTCCCACTGCATGCTCAATAGGGATGTAAATGCTGCTATGATAATGGCAATAACTAGGTTCATTGGAGCTAGTGATAAACCATGAATTGAATGGATGACCCAGAAGCAGCGCACCTCGTCCCTGTGGCTCACTGATTTACTGCAAAAGAAAGGCCCATTTCATTACGGTGGAAACCAGTGGCTTGTATAAAAGGAAAACCTAAGTCAGTAGATTAAAACATTGTAGATGGGGGCAGTTTCACAAGCCTTTATGGCCATTATCCATTTAGGCCCATTTTCCGTTGAGTTCAAGTTCAAAGATTGATAGAGTGACATTTTTGAATATCCAATTTAGCTTCAAGGTAATGTGAGAGACATCAGTAAAGTGATGTTTTTCATCCACAAATGGCTGCCTGGAATGAAAGCAGTTCAAATCCAACCTGCTACAGTGTCCCGTGTTTTTTGTCCTGTTTAACCTCCAATTGCTCAGCATCTGTGGATGCAAAGACCTCACAACCAAAACATATGAAAGCATTCACACGGTGGACCAAAGAGCCTGTCTATCAGGTGTCAGCTTCTGCTGCTTCCCCAGCTCTAAACTCGTGATGGTGAGAGGCCAGGCTTTTAGCTCTTTTTATTGAGGGACCAGAGTCACAGTCTATTCACAGATGTTCTTGGCTGGTTGTTTACTTTATCAGAAAAATTTAGATTGGGTCAGACATGTTATAAACAACCTAACCTAACCAACCCAACCAACGATTTTCAGCTTCCTCAGCAAATACTAACTTTAAATGCTGATAAGATCTTGCCATTTCTTCCTCATTGGTTCATACAACTAGACAAGCAGTGAGCAGTTTTATGATGCAGTTCAATTGGATAAGAATCAAGCCATGAGACAGGTTAGTGGAGTTTTTTACAGGCTCACACCAAACAGCTGAAAGTGTTCCACATCTTAATTCTTTAAACACCAACTTAATCATATTTACATAAGTAGATTAAGGTGTTTACCCAACATGGCCCATGCCCGATTATTATCATAATTGCTTTTAAGACTGCAAATATGAATTTTAATATATCCAAATATGAATTGAACACAGACAGCTCTCCCAGCTGCCCTTTCCCTTGTTGTTTTCTTCTTCTATTCATTCTTATTTTGGCTTTACATGCACTCCATTATGCTGTAACACCGGCATGCAACTTGCAAAGCTGGAGTAAAGTTTCAGCTTTTTAAAAAGGTCCCTGTAATTTAGCGGCTACACAATTACACTGTTGTTGTAACACAAGCCATAGTGGCTCCAATTATGTTGCTTGTTACGTTGTTCACACATTTCCAGAAGTTTAAAAGTTTTAGTCTGCTCATTAAAGTGCCCGCACTAATGAGGTAGAACAGTGTGGCTATTAGACAGGGAGAAAAGGTTGTTTAATAGTTTCCATTACAGACTTGGTTAGTTCACTCTATTATCCATGTGAGCTCCATCCCATCCTGCACCATTTGTTTAAAGCAGTGACAGGACAACAATGCAAAGCAAGTCCAGGGACATTGATCTTACCCTGCTGGAATCTCAACTCTGTGACAGCCACTACAGAAGCAATTCCTCTTCCAGCTATCACATTACAGACCCGCTATGATGTTCAACTGTTCTGCAACATTTCCATTTGTCAAAGTATTTGCAGAGGCTCTACACCGGACCACACAGTGATGTTAATTACTGTTGTGCTGCAAACATGTCTCTATACATTTGCATATTGTATATACTGGTAAACTGCAATTAATTAAGAGCTGGAGTGTTCATAAACAAAGCTGAGGGTTGGTTGTAAGGCTGTGTGTGTGTGTTTTGTTATATTTGTGGGTCCAAATGCTGGAGCCCACAAGTTACAATGGCTGTTGGAGGGTTAAGTGTTGGTTTTAGGGTTAAGGTATGTCAGTGCCAGATTCCTACAAAGATAGACACACACACACACACACACACACACACACACACACACACACACACACACACACACCTGATTTATTAATGGGAAACTCTTTTTATATAAATGTGTGTGGTGCTCAGTGGTTTGAAGCAGAGACAACACGGTCAACAATGCAACGAAACAGCAAGGTTTTATACACAATGCAGGACACAGAGGATTATGTTGTGGAGCCAGTGAACATTGCTGGCTGTTTATTTTGGCGAGAATTGGACTTTTGTCCTGAATGATACTTTGGCTCCTGGGAAATTAGATATCTAAAAACTTAGTTTGTCATGAAATCTCCCTGGAGCCTCAGGACCGTGGAAGAACATTTCAAGTTGTGATAAAAAATGAAGTTAGACAAAGCGGGTCTCTTGATAAAGTGGTTCATCATCAGGATCATCAGGGTAATTAGCTGAGTTTGGATATAATTGCATTGCATTATAGCATGAACGTGCTTCCAGTTTCTAAAAACTCTCCCACTCTCTCTCTGTCTAATCACTACTGGGCATCACAGATTACACAGTGGACAGACCTCAGCACCAAGCATCACACTGAACACATTTTACTGACAGTACTAAAACAGCCACATCAGCATTCATACAGTAGAGCACATTTCAGATTCAGATGATTTTACAAAGATAAAAACATTTTCTCTCCATTTCCTCTCTAGCCTTCGTGCTGAGCTGTGCGTTCCCCAAAGAGCCAGCTGGTGGGGAAGTGTCGGTGACACACCTCCACGCTGGAGGAGAGGCCTACTTCCGCTGTTTCACCGGCTACAAGTTGCAAGGCCCCAAAATGCTCACCTGTCGCAATGCAACCACACCTTACTGGAGTGGGAAGGAGCCCCAGTGTGTGGGTAAGACGGACCGGTTCATTCCCAGACACACATTAACTCATCAATAAAAGGAGCATGTCAGACCAATGAGGGACTATAACTGTAACCTTTGGGATGATTTTGTTTCAGTAGTTAACAGTGACTTGGGGGCAGACTTTCACAATTTTATCTGTAATTAGATTTGACCAAATGTATATATAACCAAGTTATAAATGTATATATATCATATGTATAATGTAACCAAAAACATTTTTGCCGAGTACAAATGAAGTTAAAATTATGTGGAAAATAGGATCTTAAAAATAGGAGGGATATATGTTGCAACTCGCTCTCTCTTCAGCTTTCCTCTAATACAGGTGATTTTGATTAACGAAAGCTTTCACGAGGTTGTCTCCTGCTGAGTTGATTACTTACACTCCGAGGCCAAATGAGTGTGTTTGCATGTGATTAGCAGCGCAGGGAGCTATTCTTTGGAGATGGTGCAAAACAAGGCCATTGGACCTGCTGCCTTAATTAGAACTGGGCTGCATGACAATCCTTCTCCTGCTGGTAAAGGCTCATCTGCCAGCTCCAGCGTTTCTGTGCGCCTGCCTGCAGCTGCTCTGAACTGATAGTGTTACTGCTGCTGTTTTGCTGTTCTCTTTACAAGTCCATCACACACAGTCACACACTTACACCCAGGTTGAGCCACCGAGTGCAGTCCCAGCCACAGTCCATTGGATACTGATGATATCTGTTCTCAGACAGGGGCTTTTCTCCGAAACCCCTACCATAGTTGGTGTCATTACTTTTCTCACCTAGTCCTACCTTCCAACTCTTTGTCTTCTTCCTCTCACTCTCTCCTCCCATATAGCATCCTGCGGGGGAATGATAAAAAATGCTACCTATGGCCGTATTGTCTCTCCTGGTTTCCCTGGCAACTACAGCAACAATCTGACGTGCCACTGGGTCCTGGAGGTCCCTGAAGGCCACAGGCTTCACATTCACTTTGAGAAGGTGGCTCTGGCAGAGGACGATGACAGGTGGCGTATGCATAATGCTAAAATCACATCGAGAGTAAGAGTGCACAGTTAGAGTGTGTGTGTGTGTGTGTGTGTATGTGTGTCTGTCTTCAGCTAATAGATGGCACCAGGGCTTTAAACTCATTTTCTGAATAACAGTGTGCCTGTGGATAGAGCATTAAAACCCTCGAGGCTATAAATAACCAAAATCTTCAGGGAGTGACAGATGGATTTGAAAGGACCCTTTATCATTATAATCCCTTAACAGTGTTCTATCAAGCGAAGGAATTGAAGGGACTACAGAAGGTAGTGAGAGGAAAGAAACTGCAATTGCATTACATTTTTCTTCACTGATCCACATGGCTATCGTCACACATGACCATTCACCTCATTACCAAGTGTTGAAGAATGTTATCACAAAGTTATTACAACCAACATTGGAACAGTGAGCAGCTCTCAGATGGGTTGTAACTTCGTTTATGCTTATTTTACCTTTCAAGGCTTATGTCTTTTAATGTGTGTGTGTGTGTGTGTGTGTGTGTTTAGGCTGATGATTAAGAATGGCAACAACATTGACTCTCCCCCTGTGTACGACTCCTATGAGGTGGAGTATTTGCCCAACGAGGGTGTGCTCAGCACCGGACGTTACCTCTTTATAGAGTTCACCACAGACGGGACAGTGACTTCCACTGGCGCAGCCATCAGATACGAAGGCAAGTTGCTCAGGCAGATTGCAGAGTTTGCTAACGAACAACATTACACTGCAAGGTATTAATGCAGTTCCTGTGTCCCACAGCTTTTGCAAAAGGAATGTGCTACGAGCCTTTTGTGAAATACGGCAACTTCAGCAGCAGTGACTCCACTTACAGTGTGGGAGCAGTGGTTGAATTCTCATGTGACCCTGGCTACACGCTAGAGCAAGGCTCTGTGGTGATTGAGTGTGTGGACGCACAAAACCCACAGTGGAATGAGACTGAGCCGGCCTGTAGGGGTGAGTCAACACATTTCATCTGATCCAGTAATAGTGCGACATTAGATCTTTTATGAAAATGTGCCTCCTCTGGTGAAGAACTTAGAGTGGCTAAAGACCTGAGGCTTTCATTGTCTGCCTGATCAGTGCAGGGTTAGTGAAGTCTTTTTATTCAAACATTAAACACCACTGGCAGTTAACTATATCTTCCTAAGCTGCTTTCCTCTGATCCGTGTTAAATTTCCTCTTGAAACTGTAACAATGATTTTACTTTGATATGTGTATTTGCAGGGCAGATTTTAGAAGAGCGCAAGATTAAAGGCATACAATAGTTGGCCTAAGATGAACACTGCCGTGCTGCAAAGACTACACACCATACTAAACAGTGATCTACCCCTGAGCCCTTCCCTTCGCCTCCTTCCCTCTCACATGCTTCCCACACGACATGCTGACCTTACTCCCGCTCTTTGTTGCCAGCATAGTCATTCTGCCATGGAGAAATTGAAAAGCTCTCTAGTTAAGCTAGATATGAGGAAATTTAATTTCTGCTCCTGTGGGTCATGGTCACCAAGTGGTTCAGGGGTAGTATGCAGTTTTCATGTCATGGACCTTGCACTCTTCATTTCAGCTGTTTATTAAGATTGTGGTACCATCTTATGAAGTCACATAGTTCATGTATCAGTGTATATCGGTATCTGCACATCACAACCTGCATGATGTGACGTTTCCTCTCTAATGTGAAATCTGTTGCAGTGCATGCATTTGTTTCTCAGCATCAATCTGAGGTGTGTGTGTGTGTGTGTGTGTGTGTGTGTGTGTGTGTGTGTGTGTGTGTGTTGCAGCTGTGTGCAGTGGGGAGATCACAGACTCGGCCGGTGTGGTGTTGTCTCCTAATTGGCCTGAGGCCTACGACAAGGGGCAGGACTGCATCTGGGGCATCCATGTGGAAGAGGACAAGAGGATCATGCTTGACATCCAAGTGTAAGAGACAGCACTCAGGTGTAAGAGTAGAAATCACACAGAGGTCAGAGGAGGTCAGATTGACCTCAGGATGTTAAACACTCCATCTCCTGACACAAACACACACATGGTTTGTTTCTCATCTGGACACACATGACATGCACAAGGGGAAGAGTTTCTGTGGGTGCAGTCACTAATTAGATCCCCCCCATCCCCTCCATTCGCTACATTAAGAATTCTGTGTAGCTTCCAACTCACTCTCTGACCAGATTAGCCAGTAAGCCTCCCTGCTCCCACTTCCCTGGTGTGTGTCTCAGAGTTGGCTTTGAAATGAATATGGTCTGGCAGTGAACTACTGAGCCACTTATCCAGCCTTCCCAACTGTAATTCAACACACACACACACACACAAACAATGCACATGCACGTGCACACAGATGTCTAAGACTGAGTGACTGCTGTGAGAAATACCCCACCCGACCCACCCACACTCATTATGCACTACTGTCATATTGCACATACCAGCCCATATGCTGCTACTGTACCACTACTGGACTGTAGAGGTCACTCCACTCATTCTTGTTGTTTGAGTCTGTAAATATTTTGCTTTTATTGATTGAACTTTTTTCTTAATGCTGCACATTGCTGAACTGATTTTTGTTTGTCCTGAGCACAATGACTGTAAAGATTTCATTTAATCCAGATGCAAATAGGCAAACTATTTAACCTTCACTCTTACTGTACACGACTGGCCCAACCACACACACACACACACACAGTCATTGCTCTGACGTGTAAACGGACACATTTCCCATTCCAACTGTTTCCATAAATGCTTGAGAATCTCCATCTTTGTTTGCTCATCTTCTATGGATTTATCTGTTTGCCTTGTGTGAGTGATTGCCACAATATTTCAATGAACATGCATCCTACAGAGAGCACAAAAACTACAGCATAAGCGATTTGTGTTATTGCCTGAAGCACTTGCACACAAGAGGGCACAGAGAGGTTAAAATTAAACCAGCGGGAATACTGCCCGAGGTTGTAGAAAAACAGTCACTGACAAAATCTCAAACAGAGGCTATTGTTAGCTGTTGGTCACTGTGGTTATTTATGCATGCAGGCATTTGCTGCCTCCAGTTTTGCTTTCTTAATTCACTCACTCATTCTTACTGTAAGAAATGAAAACATATTTCTGAGGTTTGAAGAAATTACAAGGTTTTGTTTTGACATGGGGTCTGGATGCTGTGCAGACAGATTGTAAACTATAGTAGCAGACAGAAAATACATGATGTTTATACCTTATTATTATCATCATCATCATCATCATCATCATCTTGCTTTCCTTGTTCCTTTGGAAACCAACTTGAAAAACACACACACCATTTTCATCTGACCTTTTCCTCCCTTTTTAAGTTTTGTGCCTCTACCACATGGTTGACATTTCCATCTACACTTCAACAATCTACAATTTTTTCCTTTAAAAGTAAAACGATTATTTAACTTAAATGAAACATGTTTCATACAATGTAAACATGAGCAAAAAAATATAAATAGATACTTTAAAAAATGAAAAAGCTATTGAGAAAAAATGGAAACATGTTGTAAAATGCAGCAAATGCAGCGAAATATTTTGTAGAACTAGATTAATAATAATTATAATAATAATAATAATAATAATAAAATAAAAAAAACTTTTATTTGGTTTTTTGTGATGTTCCACAAAACCTTGCTGACTTGTATTCAAACAACAAAACTGAGCATTTCATTTATCCTTCAATCTGGATACACCCCCCCCCCCGATCAGACATTACTGTATTTTAATTTGGCTTTATTGATTCATTGACAGTATTAGTTTTACCCCAAAGTTACTGTATTATTGAATATATCAGAGAAATCAGTGATAATTTATATCGACATAAAATTAACAAATATGTTGGAATAGCATTAAAATGATCCTATAGCCAACAGATTTTTTTATGTGTCGCTAAATTACATCTGAAATACACCGACTCCAGGGATTCCCTCGTATCTGTAGCATTGAGTCAGTGGAGGATTTGGTGAAAGTGGATGTTGCTGTAGTGGCCCAGTTTTGTGGCCACAATGCACATAATGTCCCAAACCGTTTCTTTCACTCAGATATAAGCCATCAGTCAAGTTTGATCCACAGATGAAAAAGGAAATAATATCACGGAAGGATACACAATCATACACAATGGGCTTTGTGCGGCCCTGCTTGCCCCTTTGTTTTTGTTTTTTTTAGCTGGAGATTAAGACTCTGATTAATGACTGATGTTGTAAGTCAACCAGTGCACCTAGGACAAAAAAAAAAAAAAAAAAAAAAAAAAAAAAAATCAGAGGGGATTTTTCCATGCAGCAGTAAACAAGTTTGATTGGAGGTAAAGTGATTTCCATTCAGAGATTTCTTTTTAAATTGCGCCAGCCTCAAGTTTGTTTTAAACTGAGCCACATGAGGCCACTCGCTGTAAATTAATGGTGCTGTGGCGAGCTCTAGTTTATCACAAGGTTGGTCATGCATGGCTTTCAGGGCTGTAGAAACCCACAGCCTGTCTGATCCCGCACACCCTTCCATTACCCTCATGTCTGGTGTGCTCAGCTTGAGAAAACGCTCCTAAAGACTCGGTCAACATGTAATTTGTGTGAAAGGGTGTTTATTTGTGTGCATGTGTTATGCATGTTTAAGTGGCAAAAGCCTCTTGTGGATGAGAGCTGTCTCATTATTAGGGTGGGCACACACTTTTCCACATTAATGAGAATGTTTTCTATATTATCATTCATCACTGTGTCTGTGCTGGCAATTACAGAGGAGCGGTGTGCATAATGAGGACTGATTAATTAATTTAGGCCAAACAGGAGGGTTGGCTCTTTGCTAATTAGCATGGAGCATGGCTCCAGCAAGAGCTGGAGACAAGAGTTACAGCTGATAGCCTCACCTGTGGAACACAGCAAGGTAAATGCTTCACATGTGGATTTTAGCATTCAGGGTATATCCACAAATGTTTCACAATTCCAGACAGTGAGGAAGTCTGTTTTACAGTGTTACGTGTCAGTGTACTGAGCAGGATCAGACACCTTGTATAGATAGGACACACTGGGTTTACAGAGTCCTCTTGTGGAGGCTCTTAGCATTACAGCAGCAGGTCGACTTGAGCTGGTTCCAGGAAACTGGTTATTTGTATTTTTCACTAAGCAGAAGAATTCAAAGGGTAAATGTGAGCATGAGAAGCAAAAGGAGGTTGAAATCTTCACACTGAAAGTGATTTTGTTTTTGGTCGGAGTCACAGGAGAAGTGTTGGCTTCTTTAGACTTGACAGGTCAGTGAAGGTGACAAAATGCCTAGAGTCTTGTATAAAGCTGCAGCTGTCGCCCCCTCAGGATTGGGCTGGTGCCATTAGTATGCAGAGAAGTTTTCAAAAGTCCTTTTTCAGGCAGACAGTCACCTGGAACACCTAACTATGTCAATGGAGGAGATATTTAATCAAACAACAACTGTGACAACAGTTAATCAATGTTACTCTGAGGTGTGAAGTAAGGAAAGAACATGAGGAGATGGGGTGCGAATATTTCTTTAGAATATTAGTCAGAGTCAACACAGAGAGCGACTGCTTTCTTTACTGGAGGGGAAACCATTTAAAAAAGCCAGGTGGGACGACATTTGGGTGAAGTGACTGCCAGGTTGCTACACAGACGGCAGCTGAGCGGCCTGTAGTGACTAACCACAGACTGCTGAGTGAGTCTGGGCTAAAGGCACTGTTCGCTTGGCATTCTTCCGTGTTGTCACCGGGGTTTTGAATACACTTCAGACAGTGGAGCAAATGGATGGAGTCAGTGGGAAAATTTAAAACCAAGGTTGAATGCAGCATTCTTGATGAGTTAGAGCGACTGCGGAGAATATTTAGGAAGCCAGACAGGAGGAGAGGTCACAATGTGTCAAGTGGGAAGTGTATGATTTGCTGTCGACTATAAATCTGATGTTTTTTTGACAGCGGCTGCAGTGTTGGCCTCACATCTTGTCTAACATCTGACCAAAATCATCGAATGGGAGTCAGTGTGACGTTGCGGTGTTGTTGTGAAAAAGTTAGAGTAGATTTATGCTTTTTGCCGAGGAAAAAAGGAGCATCTGTCTTCTAATGTTCATTTGGATATCAGAAGGAAAAAGCAGAGTTTTAGGGTTGCTGATGTTGCAGTAGTCTGAGGGATGAAGCGTATTTTGCATAAAGATGAAAATGAGAAGCACAGGTTCAGTCTTGAGCTGCTTTGACTCATGGAAAGATAAAGAACTAAAAGCAGATTGCATTTAATGGTGCCAATATTGTTTGTGGTATACAGTCATCAGAAAAGGATGAAGATCAACAGCAATGCCATCGAGTTTACCTCCCGGATTATTGAAATGAGCTGAAGAATGTGGTTTGTAGCAATGTGCAAAGCATGAGATGTGTAGATAGAAAAAGACACTGATGGACACCTGCTTTATTGTGACAGGGCTGAATCAGATGAGACTGACCAACTCTGCAGAGGGAACCTGTAGACCAGCTACTAAGATCCTGTCTGTCATCTGATACAGTCACTGTGTGTGGGCAGGATGCATCTAATCATGGAGTGCATCAAATAGAAAAGTGTTACAAGCTTTTAGTGTGAAAACCTTGTGGCTATTTTCATCCTTTGTTACACTCGTTAACAAATGTCTTCCTAAGAGACACTTGGTGGATGCATGGAGTGTTCTTGTGATGGTGTGGAAATGGAAACAGGTGTTGTGTGTCAGGAGAAGCTGGAATTTAGTTTTGTCCAAATTTTACCACTAGACAGAATTGTGTCATTCAGATGTTTTTGTCACATGATTTTACCCTCAGGGACGTTCCAGCCTAACTAGTTGTCCTTGAGTATACAGCTTGTGGGTCCTAGAATATATTTTTGATTGAAGTGGATATTCAACATGAATAGGTAGGATTTGTTCCTAGTCTGGGTAATTAAAGCTGAAGTGGGTGCATGTCTTTGATTTTAACTGCAGCTTGTTTCTACTCAGAGGTAATATTGAGATTCTGTTGTGAAGAAGAGACGGAGGGGAGGTAAACAGACTCGGGTCATTTATTTCCTTTCATCATCCTAAAACTCTGTCAATCACTGATAAAGCAGCCTCATCGCAGACTCCTACCTCTGTGGTAAGTAACTCTATATTCAGATCTCCTGCTCAGTAGCCTCAGCCTCATGAGCTCTGATGGTGACTGTGAGAAAAACAGGAGAGAGCCTCAAACTCCTCAAACTCCACTGCACTGCACTGCACTGCACTGCAAACACCTCATGTTTAAATCTGTGCATCAGTGTTTCAGCACAGACCCTCACACAAGCCCTCTTAAAGTCTAAAAGAAACGCCCTCGCTCACTTATATAGTGTGTCAGCCAGGTGGGTCAAATCAGGCAGCAATCAATGTGAACATTGAAGCAGGGCTTTTAGAGATATTATTCGTTAGGTTAGACAATCCTGCAACATTCACATGTCCATATTTTAGGAAGCAACAAAGACAAAATAGAAAGATCAGAGAGTAAAAATCACAAAGTCAAAATGTCTAGAGAGTAGATTTAAACATGAGAGGATCTAATGTTCTTGTTTCTTTGTGAGATCACAACCTTTCTACTCAGATACTCAGAGGACCACAGTGACTGTTTTCCTCATCTTTAAAACATTATGCAGATGAAATTTATTTTTGCTACTTGGAGCAACTTTAATGATGATGCATCATTGTGCTGTATTGTGGACTTAGCCTTTATATATAGTACCGAAAGTCAAAAGTCTGGACAGTTTCCCATTCACTGTGACAGTGTTAAAGTGTCTTTTGACATACGATCCAAGTGTTCTTTTTTGTTTATATTTATATTTTTACTCCAGAACAGTGTAAACGATATCTATAAAAAACCTTTAAAAACTTTAAATATTTCACTGTGCATGTTACTGAAGCACATTTCTTCACCAGGCTTATTGCTGAATTTTAAATTGCATGCGTATTTCTTCTCAATGGTTTAAATATATGCTTTGTTGGTTCTTAGAGTGAGGACATGGACAGAGTGAGGGCTTTTTTGACAAAGTCTGACATCTCTATGCAGTCTGTTTCTATGTGTTTCTGTTGATTGTGCTGTGACCTCATTGATTTGAATCACCTGTCTGCCACTCTGTTTTATCTCTCTCAGGGATGTGGGATTTTTTTTAAACACCTAGAGAAAACAGCATGTGTTCAGCTTTTTATTGAAAGATTGCATCAGAGTTAAAAGTTTGCAGCTCTTTCTTCCCTCTCATGTGGCAACGCTCGGGTGCATTTCTTTTTATTCTCAGAAAAGTAAATTGTCTCTGATCCCACTTTTTCATTTGGACAGTCTTGAGTTTGACCGAACTAATGATGCAAATCTGCAAACATTTGTCTGAAAAAGAACACAACTCAGCACCGCATAACATGTTTGTGAATTTAAAGTAAATCATTAAAAGAGAGATGAATACAGGCGAAAAGACAAGACAGAGGATTTGAGAAGAGGGTTTTTTATTTTTCCAGGTATTACAACTTGCATATTAGAGAAAAGTGGAGAGTATTATTTACCATTCTAATAAAACGCTGGTTTGTTAATCAGTTGTTCAATCCTGCAAATGAACCCGGCAGTGGAGAGCTCATGCAAGGGACAGGTGATTCATAGCCACAAAGTTTGGCTCCCTGACGTGTGTGATGGCACTGTGCTAATTATCACTGTTCACTTCTATTCAGCACAGCTTGTGAATATGAACAATCATCCAGCCAATCTGCAGAGCTATTTTGATGCCTGCCTTAAGGCACATAAAGAGCAACTAGTTTCCCCTGCTTATTATATCAGCAGGGAAATACAACTTCTGCGGCTTATTACTTTTTACACCCTTCACCATCCCCGATGTGCGAATAAATGTCAAGCTTTACCGATGCTCTATAAAGAGGGCAAGGACATGTGAATCACCAAATGGAAAAGGTTAATGCATTCTTAAGTTAATCATTTTCAGCAGAGATTCTATCAGACTGGCTCGGCTGCCTTACATTATATTTTATGTAAATATTGCAGTGTACTGTATGGTTTTTTTGTATAGGCCTAGTCACCTGAAGGATATTATTATATTATGCTGATATATTTGTGCATGCACATTTCAGTACATATTCATGAGAGCGATGTGCGAGGCAGAGTCTTACATCATGAATTATTTAGTGTTTACTTCACGTCAGATCCATCCAATATAAACAGAATTAATATTTTCCAAGTGCTGCTGACATCGCCTTATGTCATCAGCTTCTGCTTTCATCAGCCAAAGAGTGTAGCAGTCACTTAACTGTTGACTCTGAGCAAGACACACAGCAAACACAACACATAACCAACTGCTAGAGCTGTGCTCTATATGACAAGCTTCATTCATATCATTAGGAAGAAATGTAACCACTTGTTTATGTGTTTCACAGTCTCCATGTGGGTAAGAATGACCTGCTGACCTTCTACGATGGTGATGACCTCACAGCCAACATCCTGGGTCAATACAGCGGCACACGGTCACGCTTCAAGCTCTACACGTCCATGGCTGATGTGACTATTCAGTTTCAGTCAGATCCTGCCACCAACATCTACGGATACAACAACGGCTTTGTGGTCCACTTCTTTGGTAAGATCCTGATTCTCGAAGGTTATATATACGATATTTGCCACCACCAGGTGTCGCACTAGAGAATCTCACACCAAAACAAAAGCTTCGTCTGCCACGCCTCCACATCCTTCAGCTATAATATGGGTAACAGCACGTTAGCTAACGTTAGCATTTCTACTGTAGCTGTCACTCATGAACAGACATGTTACATTATGAACCATCAAGTTACTGACACATGAAGGAGAAGAAAAACCAGCTGGAGCCAGCTCGTAGGACTCTCCACCTCAGAGAAGACAGACCAGGATTGTCTCTGGTCTGATGTCTGTCTCTGTCCGAGGCCTTTTCAGCTGAAGAACGTGGTTTTTTTTCTGCAGTGGAGGAAATTCTGGAAGATCACTGTCACCTGAACGCCTCATACTGGACCCTACCATCCTGCTTTAAAGAGTAGGGGAGGGACTCACATGCCCTAACATGCACATGCTGCAGGACCGGCTACCAAAACAGAGAGCAGAGACACTCAGATGACATCACACACAGAGGGGGTGTAGCTTCGTTCTCTGCTCACAGCGCCATTACTCCACTACACAGAAAACAGTTGTTTGCTGCTATTTTCATGTTTAAAAATCTTAAGTATACAACCTTCAACTTTAATTACATTATGCTTTTTATTAAATAAAATCACATTTTCAAGTTTTCTTAGAATTATATGTATGATACTCCTTTAAAAGTTAATTTCCAAGATGGACATAAAACCAAAAAATGGTGATAAGTGTGGAATATAAAACAAAGATAGAAAGATAGATACTTTATTTCCCCATCATATAAACATTACTCATATCTAGAACTCAGCTGGTCACCAATTAGAAAAACAAAAGTCTATATGTTTCTTTCTTCATCTCTTTGTCCATCTGTTCTCCTGCTTGTCCCAGGTGCACAGGATTTAGATAACACCAGACCCAGAAACACAATAACAGGGTTCACTTCAACATCAGCTGGTTTTGCCCACTGCTTTGTGCTCTTGGCCATGTATACTGCATTTAAGAAGGCACAGATTGACTGGTTCCAAACCACATGCTGTGTTCCTCCCAGCAAACATCACAAGCCTGTATTTACATTCCCTCCCCATCCGCTGCTGTTTAGTGCACACAGAACAGACAATATTCGAGCCGTATTCATTCCCTGCAGAGGAAGTTGTTGCATATTAATGCTTGGATTTCCTGGAGCAACAAATCTTGTCCCTTTACAATCTAGATTCTGTATTAAGAATGAAAATGTAATGTTCATTATACAAGAAAATTTAACATTAAATTATTTCTGCACTCCCAGTGCCAATGTCTTTTCCCACCACTTTTGGAATTATTAATTTTTCCAATTGTATTTCTCCTCTCTCCCACCAACACAAACCGCTCCATGTCGAACGCCAACAGAAGTGCCGAGGAACGACACGTGCTCTGAGCTGCCGGAGATCACCAATGGATGGAAGAGCACGTCCCACCCTGATCTAATCCATGGTACCGTCATCACCTACCAGTGCTACCCCGGATACGAGCTGGTCGGCTCTGAGATCCTCATGTGCCAGTGGGATCTCTCCTGGAGCGGCGATGTGCCGAGGTGTGAGGAAGGTGAGAGGAAGCACACAAAGCAGCACAGGGAGAATGAATGAGAGTAAAACCTCACCAGTCACATGATCTCTGAATCCTTGGAGGTCTCGTATTGATCAGACTTGATTATGTAATCAAATTCTCATTGTGTTCTGGTCATCAGTTTCTTTCAGAACAGCTGTTCAGCCAGTTTAGTTATCGTCACAGCACTCAGCAGTGCATGCAGCAGCACAATCCTCCAGTGCAAGGTACATTTTTATAAAGCTCCTTAAAACGACTAACATTTTAATTTACAGATAAAATGAAGTGAAAGGAATGAAACACCTGATCAGTTACCATATACATCCTATACAGTATGAACACAATTTAAAAAAAGACACCAAATATACAAACATATTCAAAGCAGATTGGAACTGGATAGAGACTGATGATCCAGGGAAATAAAGACTTCACAGTAGCAAACACTGACTCAAAGGTGGGTCATATTTCAGTCCAATCCCAGTTAGAAGCCAGTTTCAAGCCCCTATAAACTGTAGTGTTTGTCACATTGTGACTTTCTCTTTAGCTGTGTAATACTACGCACTGGTATTTGGCTGTGACCTTCTTTAGCTGCAGTGGCTGCTACTGTAATGTGTGCACTTGGAGAGGACGACTGCATAGGTGATGTCATGTCAGTCAATGTTGGTGGAGTTGGAGAGAAGTGAGCTCACCAGACCTCTGTAGCCGGCTCCTCTTCTCTGCTTGAGGCTATTGGCTAGCGGCTACATTAGCTACATTTTCACTGTGAATAGTCCTTCAGTATCTCGTGTGGCATTAACACAGGTGTATCAGGTACCTGTTGGGAATTTACCTGGTTCATTTATACATGGAATCATAGAAAATTAATATAATAACAATAATGTAAAAAAATTGTATTTTACTCTAGCACACTACAATGGCAGAGATGACAAATGATGATCATCCTTTGTTTTTGTGATTCACCAGTTATGACGTGTCACGACCCTGGAAACGTGGAACACAGTCGCAAGGTGATGACGGGCAGCCGCTTCGCTGTCGGATCCACTGTGCAGTTCATCTGTAACAAAGGCTACATCCTGTCCGGCAGCGGCCTCCTCACCTGCTACAACCGAGACTCAGCCACGCCCAAGTGGAGCGAGAGGCTGCCCAAGTGTGTCCGTAAGTCGCACAGGTCACACTCACATGCACGTACTCTTGCACACATCCATACTGTGAGTTATTGTTGTGCTAATTTTGTTTTATTTGTTGACAAACTATCAGAAATGCAGATACACTGAATTATTTATGTTTCATCTTATAAAGTTAAAAACACAAAATCTCACCCTCAAAATGTTGCATGAATGAAACTCAACAAATACAAGTGATTTGCTCATTTCAGAGCAACAACAAACACATGAAGCATGTCTGTGATTTTAAACTTGATTCCATTCACCATACACTTCATGTGAAGTTCTGTCAGACCACTGGATCATTTGTGATTTGTCACTTAGGAACATTTGTCTAATTTAATGTATTTTTGGTGACTTGCAAAACAAGTAAAAACAAAATATTACCTTTTCATGTCTCAGTTAATGTGTTTGTTGCCTTTTCTACATGTGTTCATCTGCGTGTATCTCAGTGTTTCTATTGTTAAAAAAAGATGCATCAGAATCATTTTGTGAGAATAAAGACATCGTTCTTGCTCTCAGCTGAAAAGTACGAGCCGTGCAGGAACCCTGGTGCTGCTTCCACCAGCGTGCAGAGCTCTGAAAAGGCCTTTTACCAAGCAGGAGAGACGCTGACCTTCTCCTGCCACTCAGGCTACGAGCTGCAGGGAGAGGCCACCATCTACTGCGTCCCTGGACACCCATCACAGTGGAACAGCACTCCCCCCGCCTGCAGAGGTGAACCACATCCACACAACTGTCACAACATTAGTGAATACAGTGTGTCCTAGACTATATAATGTATATTGATTTTCTTGCTGTTTGTGAATGTAAAGCCTTTGTACTTATTTTATGTACCAGTGTAATACGTGCACTGTGTTCTCTGTCTTACAACTCTGGTCCAAATACTCCCTCGTGTGTCTTTGTAGCATCCTCGACCCAGTATGTGAATGAACGCAGGCTGGATGGTGAGCCATGTTTTCAAACAATTCAGTATTAGTGTATTTTTTTATTGTGAATATTTCACAGAAATAATACCTGTTCTTGTGTTTTTCCTTCAAGTTGTTAATCTGGATTATGGCATGGAGGGAACCAATATTGCCCTTGCAGTTTTTGTTCCAACTGCAATCATCCTGGTGGTTGTCCTCGGGATTTATGTCTACTTCTCAAAGTAAGTCACAACTTAAAACTTACTTTAATTTCATTTGAAATCAAATGAGCCTTTACAGGACTGTTCCTCTTCTCTTTACTCAGGCTACAAGGGAAGTCTATCAGAATGCCGACATCCTCGCCACCGTATGACAACATGACGGAAGAGTCAGCTTTCGACAACCCGATATATGAGAGTGGAGTAAGTACAGATGTCATGAGCATGCAAGACGTGGATTCACAGAACACCAGTGTGCTGTCCTGATCCTTTCCCATCTGGCCGTCACCCTGTCGTCATCTCATGTTTCACCAGCAGAGGGCCTCATCTCTCCTCACCATTCCCTCATCAGTAAGAGCTAGTGGTGTGAGCCGATGATGTTGCTCATAAGAATATAAAGACAGACACTTTCCCCTCACCCTGCTCTGAGGTTTACACCCTGGATTTCCATTCTTCATCCACTCGGAGGAGTGACAGTAACACGTCAGCCTTACATTCTGTCACCTTGTGGTATGTTGTCCCTTACCCATGTCATATGCATGTATTCTGTTGAATGCTGCATTCACACCAGGTGGGTGAATGAACATTTTCGAAACTGCTCTGCGCAAATGAAACTAGTTTATTTGAAAAAAAAGACAGTATTATTGATTCATAGACATTGTTTATTTGAAATGAATATCTTCCTCACGTCTATCAAAGGTGGAGGATCAAAGCAGGCTCCACTTTGTCAGAGTGGGCCAATCACAGTAACAGATATTTTACTTTGAAAAAGCTATTCAGTCATTTTAAACTTTTACTCTATCTTCCTTCCTTGTTTCCAACGCACTGATAAATCACAACACTATACATATAGAGTAGATCTATAAGATCCTATGATATAGTCATAGGCTGCTGTGTGACTTGTGATGACTATATGGATATAAGTTTCCTATTGTTCATAATTCTTTTCATGTGCTGGTCTCACTTGTGACCGGCACGTCCTGCTCTTTCTCCCTGCTCCTTCAGCACTGGCAGACTCACTCTAGATACTAAACACAGTCAGTCTGTCCACTCTGGCTCCACTGCAGAACAACTGAGGTGAGATCTCCGTCTGATACTGAGAGCACATCCCTCTCACTGTCCCCTGACCCGCAGCCACACATTTCTGACTACCTCTCCCAACCTGAAGCACATTCTGATCAGGCTTCAATCGGCACTTTGTAGGTATGACGTATTTAGGAATATGTTTCTGCAGCAGATCCAGTCTGAACCTACATCTCTGCATTTACATACAACCAGAACCACTGGCTGATGAGACAAGTGACCTATTGATGAATTCAAATCCTGTTTCTTTACACCTAAAATAATTTATAGAGGATGAAAAATATGACTTTTTCAAACAAGTTTTGAAGCCACTGCTCTCCCTCCCTATGCCCCTGTCATCCCAACATTTCAATAAAGCTGATAATGATGTGCTGTCATGCCCAAATAACAATTGTATGTAAGTTTGTGTCACATACACACTGGTCATATTTTGTTAACAGCGTCTTTTGCACCACCTTACTTTAGGGTATGTTACTGATTACTGTGTTTGATCCAGAAACTGAAGTTAATACATATATCAAGATGAATTAATCTAGAAAAGATAAGGAATAATTGGGATAAAGAACTGTTGGAAAAAGACTATTTTGAAACTGCAGTTAATTTATATACAGTATTTACAAATTACAAATATTATTATTAGTCAATCACTTTTTTATGATAATAAATAATGAAAATGAATAGCTGTCCACCCTAAAGTAAAGTAATAGCATATCCAACAATATCTCATCATATTGTTTCTGTTTTTGTCATGTTCATACTGAGTGGTTGCGATTATAGTCTATATTTTCTAATAAAGTATTTTATAGTAAATCATCTGATAACTACGAATATATCTGTACTATAAAGATCTTCTCTCTTCATTTAAACGCACAGAGGTCGTTTTATGTCAAACCACTGAAATAGAAAACATTTACTGAGTGTTTGTTGTAATATTGAACAGTTATTTTTATTGTATTGTAAATGAGGAACTCATAAGTTCTGCTTTTAAAATGTTTATTTCCACTTGATAAATTGTCCCATCCTCGTTTTAACTGGTGTGTTTGTCTGGTCTTTACAGGACAAATGAAAAAGATTTAAGAGGTGTCTGTTTAGAGACCTTAAAGCAAGAATTGCTCAAGCTTTGCCTTTTGGGACCCTCTCTGCACTGCTCATCTTTCCTCCAACTTTTTTTTTTATTGTTCCTAAATGTTTTTTGTCTTCCCATTTCCCTTCACATTGATTATTATTGTAAATAAGTCCTTCTTTTCACAGTCAAACCTGTGAATCTGTGGGTCACCATGGTGATATTTTTATAAAGTAAATTGCTGATGACCGTTGGTGATTGTATGTTTCTGAGTACTTTTTGAGGCCCCCAGCAAGTAGCAGTTAGAGATGGAGGGAGGTTGTGCTTTGATTGTTGAGATCTGTTGGATACATTTCCCCATTACCCAGGATTCTTTGGAAAATTTGCCATTATAACTTTTTTTGTGTGTGTATGGGTCTGCTCTTTGTAAATAAACTGCCTGTCCAATATGAGTGCCTCACGAATGACTATAACCTGAGAAATCACATGTGGAAATGTTTGTAAATCTTTCATTCAACTATTATTTTGTATTTGTAGGCCTGACGTTCTTAGCACTCAGACTGTGCTCCGGCTTTTCCATCACACGGTTTATCTTCATCAAACAATACCAAATGATGCCGGATTTTTTCCTACTAGCTGAAGAGTGGTTCCCACTGCATATAGCCTCAGAGGATTCATGTTCTTATATGGGACCCATCAGCTATGCATAACTTTGTTCCTATGTCACACTGTCAAGTCTGCCTCAAAGAATAAGTAGCAACTAGTTCATTTGTGTATGTTCCAAAATGTGGTTGCACCACAACATCAGCAGACCGTGAGATAAAGCCCAGCGAAATCCAGTGATAACAAAAAAATTCAGATTGATTCCTGTGTTACAAATCAACACAATGTGGATTTATTTTCTGATGTTGCAAAATAAATCCTTAGGTAACAGGCTGGGTTTTTATTCTGTGTCACATTGTTGTGGTGCATCTGCTTGTGTTAAATTTGTAGATAGACCTCATATCCTTTGTGCATATCCTTTACAATCTAACAAATCTTTCTTTCAGCATCACAGCTGGTGAAACCAAATCACCTTCAAATATCTATAATCCTCTGATTAATAATAAAATTAATTGTTGTTTAAAGTATCGTTGTGTTTGATTGATATACATTCATATTTGATTAACATACTTTTTGGTCAGGACATTTTAATTGAACAGAGCCATAATTATTATTATTATTATTATTACCTTTCCTACTATGACAAGTCAAAATATACCATAGATTTCTATCCCAGGCTAACTGCAGTAGACTCAAATACTCAGAATACTTGATCAAGCAGAAGTATCAGCAATAACACTGAGACCGTATGAATTTAATCAGTATCTGATAAGTTGTTAAACCAATTACCACTGTGTAGAAAACACATTCATATTCAAATGAAACCTGTAGAAAATCTTGTATGAGCAATATAGGAGAGGGGACAGCAAAAATAAATTTGTCATACAATCATTTACCTCTAGATGGCAGCATGACAACAGGCAGCCATCACTCTGAGGCCTACATGAGGTGAAATCCATATTCTTAAGCTTTTGTTAGAAACTGTGTGCTATGCCAGCAGGTCTCATACTTCTCACTCAGTTCACATTTGTACATTATATTATATAATTTATCACACACACGACACAGAGAAATGGAACATTGAAAGTTTCATTACACAACGAGGAACAGACAGAAGGTGGGACTTGATTTAGACTATAAGGATATGTTAGACTGACAGTTCACATTCTCTGACACTGGTGGAGTGAGGAGTCAGCCTCAAGCTGTTTATGGGAGAATTACAGGGAATTTTTAATATATGTTGTTTTATCAAAAACATATTTAGCACACCGTGTTGTCAGGGCTGTTTGCAGGAACCTGTCAAATCAAAGAAGAAAAAGTTCTGCAAAGTTTAAATTTCTGAAGATGATTTTCAGGTCATGAACACGTCTTCACACTGTTTGAGCTGCAGACATCAAACTAAACTGTCAGACATCTTTGCATTATAAAAACACATGAACTGTATCTAACAAGCATCCCATTTGACCTTTCAACAAATAAAGACTTCAACTTTTAGGGATCCATTGGGATTAGAGGAATTGACTGAGGCCTTTGAGCTCGTTCTCAGTGACAGAAGATTTAGCAGCTTCAAATGTGTGTGATGTTTCTTGGTGTCTGATTAAAGGGACTAAGATTTTTGATATTATGATAAAACAACTAGAGTTATTCACTGTGTATGTTTTATCATACGATGTTATGCCAAGTAATCCCAAATTATAATCCACGTCTACCTCGTTATTTGTTACATGAGCAGTGGCAGTCGGTACCAGTCACAGTATGTTAACCTGGAGGGGATTAAACTGTCCTGTCACATTATTCTTTTCTGTCTGGCTCTTTATTTTGCATGAGGTTAAATTATATACAGTGTTTGTGTATTCAGCCATGTTCATTTTTTTCTGCCTGTGTTTATGTGGGAGCTGGTGTGTCTCTGTCTGTCGTTTGGGGGCAGTCACCCACGATTTCAGCTGAGCTTTCAGTCTGATGCAGCGGAGAACAGCAGCTTCAGCCATTAAAATGTAAATTTCCTGTGCAGCCTAGGAAGAGGACAACAACTGAGGATCCACCTCTATTATAAAAGATAGAGTATTATAATACCACAATGTTAGAAAATACAAGAAAGAACAAATAGAAAATTATAAAAATGTATGATAAAATGTCATTTAATAAGACTTAGTGCTTTTTTATTGTTGTTTTTTATTTTTATTGCCCAGCTTCTGTGTTGCTGTATGTAATCTTACTGCATTAAAAAAATAATTAGAACTTAGAGCAACCAATCAAAATACAGATATCTCATCACTCCACTTTCTGTTTGGTGCTATTAGAAGCAGCTGATAATCATAAACTATATAAATTATAACATAAATAACAACAAAATACAACACATAACTGCTGATAAAGACTAAATAAAAATAACAGCAGCAGATTGGTATCATAACATCTCTCTGACACATGTCACTGTGGAAAATTATATTTCTGTTTGCAAAGATAAACAATTGACAAATATGTAAAATCACATTTACTTTGTTTGTAACTTGGTTTC